AAGCCTAAGTGCTCACCAAGGCCAATATTTTGCTTTGCAGATTCTGATTGGCTTCGGGGTAAATTATCAGTGATTACAGCTAATATCAGGATACAGTGTGAGGCAGTAAAAAGAGATAATTATGAGGAAATGAGGAATTATCTGCTGTAGAAACAATAGATCAATTATGAGGTACAGCACAGTAGCTGCAGAGCAGCATTCTTGGGCTCTGAGGGTACTGTCTTCTCTTTCTCATCAACCAAAGAGAACCCACAGTTATAAAGTTTAATTATCCTCCAGGAGCTCAAGCTTGCTGACTAATTAGCCTCTTGTTGAGACAATACAGAAAAGGATTTAATTCCAATTGTCCGCAAAAATAGGACGGCACAGGCACAGTCCTGGCTCTTCCCTATGTATTTATCTCTCCTGCCTTATGAGTGCGAATGTAAGAGCTTTGATATCCGTGGTTCTGGACAGCCTAAAAACAGTCCCCAGCCTAAAATAAATGTAGGCAGGGAAGGGAACTCCGGGAGGTGGGGGTAGGGATAAAGAGGAAGGAAGCAGTGTGTCTGGGGCAGCGTGCAATGGCAGTCGGAGCGTTCCTGCTGCTCATCCACAGATGAGCTGTGTGAATCCCGCCTTGCTCCTGTCACGGCACACACAAACACTTGCAGGGCTCTCACAAATGCAGACTAAGCTGGCTCTGATGCTCAGGGTATTACTACAGCAGTTGCAGGCTCTGTAGCTGCATGGCCGCAGTTAGGAGTGCTTAAACTGAAGATTTACAGTTCAAAGTGTTAAAAAAGTAAGGGTCGGAGCTCTCAGGAGCCAAGTTCTCGTCTGACAGGCCACTGTAGTCAAGAGCTACCCGAGCTGAGAAACAGGACCTTAAGGGATACAGCAAATTACCACCAAAATGGCACAGAAGCCTCTGGCAGGTGGGTTCATCCAGCACTTCCCATCATCCCGGTAAGGAAATTATTTAATGTCTGGACTGATGAACAATATAGACTATGTGCAGTAACATGTCATTCGTGAGTGAGATTTTAGATGAGTTTGTGGCACAGCAAGTGCAAATAGCCATTATGGTTAATAACTCAGTGTCGGTAATATTTGCAGTTAGCAAACACACAGGAAGAGAAAATGTCAGACCACATCTGCTCTGTACGGAGACAGGAGACACCTGACATTTCCTTCCACCTCAATGACTTCACTGTGCTTGTCTGGCCTTTGAAAACAGCTATTATTGTGCTGAATTCTCAAAGAAACTATTCTCAGTGAACCAGAATCCCCCTTGAAATCCACCTCCTTGAAGGAAAGCCTGGATTTCCTGCTGCTTCGTTGGTTCTTTGGTCAGTACCTCCCCTGCACCCATAGTCAGGGGAGCAAAGTTAAAAAGGCACAGATTGGCAGCTTCCTGGGCAGGTTAGCTCCAGACACCCATTCTACATCCTGCAGGGGAGGAATTCAGATCCCACATTTCACTCCTTTTGGAGATACAGGTCTTCTTCGCTCACAGTTTGCTCCCTGCTCGGGCAGTGGAGTTGTAAGGGTTATAGTTTGGCAGTCAAAATATGATGTCTAGTTTTCCTGAGGTCCTGCCCAGCCTTTTTAAAATCTCTGTTTGAAACAAACTGCAGGTTGTTCATCTATCCCTCCATCACCCAGTTCAGATGGCTCATATCCATCAGCGTGACAGCTGTGCTGAACCTCATCTCATAAAAACACAAAGATTAGACCAGTGAATGTAAGTGCTCCCAAAAATCCAGTTCAGCAGAAGGTCAAAAGTAATTAATGCTTTAACCACTGAATTGCTGCAGGTGTACAAGGGGAAGCACCTTCCACCAGGTCCTGAAGGAAGGCACCTTCCACCTCACGGATGCTGCTCCAGGCCTCGTTTTGGTCCCTGCACGAGCTCTGCTGAGAAGCAGGTGAGTACAGGAGTTGGAATGGAAAATGTAAGGGACTGTAATTACAGGGGAGATGCTCCAAGCTTTAAAATGCTCTCAGCACTTTGTCCACCAAAAAGTTTTTCCCAGGGCAGTGCTAAAAGCAAAGGTAGTGGCATCAAACAGCCTCACGCCTGGACTGACCTGTTTAAACTGATAAACTTATGTCCATGGGCTGCAGCCCCTGGACACCTGAGACATGGAACAGGGGCAAAGCCTGGCTTCCACCAAGGAGAACCTTTTGTGGTTCCACCACAGCAAGGCTGTTATCAGTTAACATCAGTTTTTTTAGGTAGGGTCCCCGAGCAAACAAAGCACAGGATTTGGGAATACAGAATGGACACAGTAAAAGGAGCATCTAAGGCCAGTTCTGCCACATCAAACTATACATGAGCTCTGCAGCGGGGTGAGGGATAATTAAAAGTATATGTATATATACATCATGTGAAAGTTCAGTTCCTGCTGGGGAGAAGCCAAAACATCAGCTTCCCACACCCCACGCCAAGGTCTGTGTAGGCACAGACAAGAGTCAGCCAAGCTACTTGAAAAACAAAACTGATTCATTTGCAGGGATCCAAAATCAAACCCTCGAGACAAGGAAAAGATGCCGTGATTTGCTTTTTGTGAGACAAACTCCTCCCCAGCCTCACCTTGGCTAACCTGGGCTCCAGATGTACCTGCACAGTGGGGCAGAGCTGGGGGGCACTGCCACAGCTGCCACACCTGCATGGAAAAGGGGAGACGTTCCCCTTTCCAGAGTGTGTCATGACCACGTGCATCTTGGTCAATTTTAGTATTTCAGTTAACAACAATTCTCACTCTTTTGTCTCAAAAAGGGGCTGTGCTACGCACAGGCTGTTGCAGCGCACCAGGGAAAGAATGTTTGGGAGCAGACAAAGGCTGATGCTGAAAAGCATTTTTAAATTCAGGCTTGAAACAACCAGTCTGCCTTCTAACACCCTCATTTTTAAGAGCAGGCAAATAAGGGATTGTTCTTTTTTTTCCTCCTTCACAGGGTCAAAA